CTTAATTAAGACACACTTCCAAATGGCTCACTATCAAAGGATAAGTGGAGTAGAAATTTGAAAATATTTAAACTGAACAATAAAGAAAATATTGCATTTCAAACTCTGGACACAACCAAACATACTACTTAGAGGGAGTTTAAATACTTAGTAAAATTAAAATACTACTTTTAAAAAACAAACTAAAAATTAATGAGCTAAATATCTAGATCAAGAAGTTAGAACAGATAATTTAAATTACTTAGAAATAAGAACATCATAAAGATAAGAAAATAAAATTAGAAAGCAAAGATATAGCACAGAAGATCAGTGCCTGAAGTTATTATTTGAAAAGACTAATACAGTAAACTTTTGGCAAGATTGCTCAAATAAAAAAGAAAGAAAATAACATGAGAAATATAAAAAGCAATTTAGCTATATATATATCAGAGATTTTTTTTAAAGAACATGAATAAATACTTGGAAAAAATTATGCCAGTAGATTTTGAAATGTTAGGTAAAATATACCATTTTCTAGAAAATTATAACCTTATAAACTACCTTGTAAATAAATACAAAACATAAAAAACACTGTAAGTATGACAGAAAAATAAAGGCAAACAACCAAGCATTTATCTTGCCTGCCTATACAGGCTCTACTCCAGGATGTTGGAAGAGAATATGAGGGTAAGCCTGACTTTATAGAAGTAGTCTACACAGTGAAGAAGGAAGGACAGTTAGAACACCAGCATTTTGCACAGCCAAGTGAACTGTTCATGAGGAATGGCTAATTTCGCAAAAAGAGTCAACCAACTATTAACATTTGAGGAACATGTTAAAAAGTTAACAAGTACCTGAGAAGGATTCTTAAAGAAATGGCACCTGAAACCCAGGAAGCCACTTGGTCAACTTCTTATCAGCACATAATATTTAATTGTAAGGTATGATAGAGGAAGTTATAGTATGTAAGATTCACGAAAGTTGCATGTATGAAAGAATGGTTCCTGCAAAGTTCTGAACTGAGTCCAGGAGACTGGCTATGCATTAGCCAGGTGCAGGCAGTGGAATACAACAGCTGCAGAGGAGAAAGGCATGAGGCAGGACCAATGCTCAGTGGGCAGTAGAAAGAGCTGGAAGGACGGTGTGCCCAGCTGAGCAGTTTGTTTTGTTCTCTTAATAAACGGTGATGGAATGCCATTTAATTGTCATTTCAATGGTAATGGAGTATCACATAAGGGTTGTGGAATGTCATTCAAGGATTTTCATCAAGAAAGTAACATGATCAAATCAGTATTTTAACTGGATCAGCCTACCCGCCGAGTGGAGGATGCCTTAGAACAAGATAGGACAGGGAAAGGGACTCATGGACATGGACAGCAGTGTGGTGATTGCTGTGTGGGAAGGGGGATGTAAGAGGACTACATAGTAATGGGAAAAATACAATAAAGATTAAATTAAAAAACAAAAAAAGAGAAAAGATACTTAGAGAAGCTATATTTAAAAAATTAAAATAAAAATTTCAAGAGCTAAAAATAAAAACTGAAAATAGGAAGAGCAGTGAAGACAAAGATATAGTACTTTATGAAATATCACTTATAGTTTTAAAGTTAGAAAGCTCTTCAATATTATCAGCCATATTAACAGATAACCTGGGGGTTCAGTGAGTAATTTCTTGGGATGAAATATACCTAGGTCTAATTTCATACTCCTTTGAAAAATTTAGATAATGATAATTTCCGACTTTATCCCTAAATTATAGGCACACCTCATTTTATTGTGCTTTATTTTTTGTGCTTCACAAGTGTTGTGTTTCTTACAAACTGAAGGGAAGACCTTCTACCAACAAAAGGATTGACTTTTTTGTTGTAATACTTGCTTTATTAAGGTGGCCTGGAACTGAATCCAAAATCTCTGAGGTATGCCTATATATGGATCATGTAGAAAGTTAAGCATTTATTATTAAATGTAGAGTTGAAAATGTATGATATATTAATAATATAATACATAAAATTTAATGAATAATATATGTAAACATATAATAAAATAGAGATGTTCCTCGATTTATGATGCAGTTACATCCAGATAAACCAATTATAAATTAAAAATGTTATAAATTGGAAATGCACTTAACCTACCAAGTATCACAGCTTAGCTCATTTGGTTTCTATTGCATGCATATCACTTTCCCACCATCATAAAGGAAACACTGGAAGTCAAACCATTGTAAGTCAGGGATTGTCTGTGTAATAAAAATAATAAAATAATCATTTCTTGTGCTTATGCCTTGAACTTAGGACAAAGAATGCCTAGATTTAAATTTCAGATTTGCAACTTACTATCAGTATGATTCTAAGAAATTCACAACTACTGTGCACCTCAGGTTCCTCATAAAAATAAAAGGCCAGGAATTGCTTTGTTCACTGCTGTGTCTCTAGCACGGGCATAGTGATTTTACAAACTGCTGATATTTCTTGATTAAAGGCATTTATTACTTATAAATTTATTTTACAGAGTTGCTGTGAAGAAATAAGATAAAAACTGTGAAAGTTTCTAAGATATTTTTTAACAAAGACATTATTAAATAGCTGCTTTGTGATAGGCACTATGCCAGGAGCTAGGAATATGAAGGTGAATAAGATAGCATCCCTATTCTTGGGAGCTTCCATCTAGAGGAGCTACACAAAGTATATGTGATGGAGCACAGAGTAGGTACTCCATAAACATTGCAAAGCTCAGAGTAGGTGCTCAATTAGCATCGAATCTGAATTTTATGTCACTTTAAAGCTCATAAAACACTTCATGAATGTTATCCTTTTTGAAACACACATACTGTAAGTTTTACAAGAATAAACAAAGGTCTTAGGCATTCAGCAGAGGAAGGGATGATCTATTGGGATGCACAGGCATGACTTCATGGGAAAGAGGATTTGAGGTGAATTTCAAAATATGCATGAATTTTAATAGGAATAAAAGATGGAGAAGCAGGAGTTTTATAAAAAAACCCAGGAATATAGCCCTGGCTGTTGTAGCTCAGTGGATTGAGCGTGTGCCTGTGAACCAAAGGATTGCAGTTCAGTTCCCAGTCAGGGCACATTCTTGGGTTGCAGGCCAGTTCCCAGCAGCAGACGCATGAGAGGCAACCATACATTGATATTTCTCTCCCTCTCTCCTTCCCTTCCCCTCTAAAGATAAATAAAATCTTTAAAAAAACGGAAATATATAAGCAAAGGCTTGTCCTCAGTAATTCCACATTGCTTTTTATCTGTGTTCATGAACCACATGTTTATAAGTCTCCTCTGGAATACTGTTGCATGAATATTGGTAACTATAATCTTTGGAATAAATCTTCACCTGCCTTTGAAAATGTGGAGAACATTTTTCTATCTCTTATTTTCATATACATTTCATGAATTCCGATGATTGGTAGTGGAAGTTACATGACAGTACTTTATTCCCAAATACTTATGGACCCCTTGCCCTGTGCCTGAAAGTGTGTAGGCTCCTACGATGAACTGTTTATGCAAACAACTGTTGTACAAAGCATAAAGCTGTAAGTGCCATAACCAAGTTGAAGCTAGAAAGGAGGGTTGAGGGAACATCTGCATTTTTTTCAGTATTCTTCCTACAGTTAATTCATCCGACTTTGGAGACTTCATCTTATAAAAACATTAACTGTTCTTTCACAACCTCCTCTTTTGCAATACTTGTCTGGGTTTGTGTCCTTTCCAGCTTGAATTCTTTCTCTTTATTCTCTGCTTGAGGCGATTTAGGGGCTAAGTCACTGCCTTCTGTCATTAGATTAAATGTCCACTGTACATTGTCTGGAGAGACTTTACTTAAGTCTATACTTTCTTGTTCTGAGTAGTATTTCAAATATCTGTTCTTGTGTTTAGCATATTTGCAATATCCACTTGAGTTTGACCTTTAGTAGCCTTAAGACTAACCTTAGGAGCACAGTCTTGAGTTTCCTCAGGCTTGTACTGTACTGTGCTCCTCCTATCCTAAGTTCTAAGGGTCCTGAAAGACTCCTAAACAAGGAAGCAATGGGCAGGGGCACTTCTCAGGGCTTAAAACTCCTACCTCCTGTTTCTAGGGGCCCTTCCTTTGCCTCACTGCAAAAAAAAAAAAAAAAAAAAAGACTAGCCTTAGGAAGGCCCAGGAAGTTATCTATCATTGTTAGTGACGCACTAGGCTGGTTGTGCGTTTTGTGTTGGTCTAACCCCCAGGCATGGCCCTGAAGGATGGAACATCTTATCCATGAAAGTGTTATGGAAACTCTGATCCTCTAAGAGAAAAATTTATCCAAGGTCTCAGAGCTCAACGGAACTCAAAAGTGGTAGACCTTGAATTTGAACATTGCTAATTTTGACCTCAAAGCCCATGCTCTTTCCACCACAACATATTAATCATGATAAAGTATATTTTTAAGTACATCTTTCTGGTTTTTGTAAAAGTCTTTCTAAAAATCTCAGTTTATCAAAGTTTCTTTTTAAGTCTCATGAAGTTCAAGTACTCAATAAGCATTTATTTGCCATTCAGGCCTAGAATTACTACCTGCCTACTCCAGTATCCTCAAATTTATTCATTGTGATGATTTATAACTTTATAGTCATAATTATTCCTCTGGGTAGTACACCTATTGGAATTCTGAGATTCCTGAAGTGTCCTACTGTCCTTGTTTGACAATGCCCAGAATTTCCTTTTACACTAATTTGAACTCCAAGATGACAGAATCTATCACGTCGTGTTTTCTTTTAATGGTAGGCTCGGGGAGGCGGGAAGCGCAGAACAAAAGCCAGTGGGTTAGTTAACTGGGGATTGTTTTACTGTATCTTTCCGTGAAACGTTCAGTTATCTTCTAAAATTTATTGCTTTTGCGTGGCAACTCTAAACGCTCAACAAAGCTTCAAAGTTAAGACAAAACCTGGTTAGTAGGTTTTTTCTAAAAACAAAAAACAAACAAACCCAAAACACTAAGTGCTTAGCCCCGCCCCCTAAAACACCAGTCTAGGAGGCGTGGGACCGGGCGGGGAAAGGCTGTGCTTTGGCTGCTACAGGATTTATAGGGCACCAGGAAGGTTCACGGAGCCGTCGCCGCCAGGAACCAGAGGGACCTCTACGGCACCCCAGCCTTCCGGGACTCCAGTCAGGCCCTAGGGCGTCAGGCGCCGGCGCAGCTGCCGGCCAGCACGCAGGGAGCCTCTCGCCACCACTGGGTGCAGCCGGCCTGCGTCCCATCCGGTAGTTACTAGACCACCGGCTATGGCCTCCGCGGGCGGTGCCCGGCTTCTGCAAGCTTCCTCTGTGGCTCTCGGCGGCGCAGTCCGTCGGTGGCTATTTCTCGCCGCCGGAGCCCGCGTTGGAACCAGTGGCTTTCCCGGAAGGCGGGGGCCAGGCCGGAGCGCTGAGCCCGGCCGGGCAGGCTGCGCGCCGGCCAGTCGGCCGTTGAGCCTGTCTGCAGCGGTGCCTTGCAGGTGAGGCGCTGGCCTGCGCGTGAGTGCTTAAGGGACCCTTCTCCGGGGGATAGCCCCCACGCCTCGGGGCGGCCAGGATCGCCGGGCCTGATTTCTGGCCCGGCTGTATTTTCTCCTAGGCCTGCTTGTCGGGCGCACGCGCCCAGAACCGCCCGCCTCTTGCTCCTCCTTTTCCGTGGCGCTCTTACCGACCCTGTTTCGGCGCTGGGCGCCCTCACTGTCTTCCTGATTTCGCGCCGCACAGTTTCCGAGACACTGACGCTGGGCGTTAAACGGGGACCCAGGGCACCCTATTTTCCTTTCCGAGGGCCTCAGGAAAGCCGGGCGCTTTGCTACCACTAGTTGTCCTTGTGGTTTGGCTGGAATCTAACCTTTGCTCTTCCAGGAACCTGCCTGCAGTGACCTTCGTAAGATGGACCTCATTAAGATCCCGGCCAGCATTTTTTTTTTTTAACAGAGTCTTTGTCCTGCAATGTTAGGACATCTTGACTGCATTTCTTTGTCAGGGTAATACTTGGTTAGCATACTCCCACTCTTCCTTCGAGCTTCCCTGTGTGCTCTGGTCTAGTTGATTCCGTGTTAAAAGCTCCTGCATTGGAGTGGCTAGGCAGGGTTTTGAAATGGCTTTGGCACTTACTGTCTAATTTCCTCAATCTTTGTGAACCTCAGTTTTTCCACTGGTAAGTGGATATAACAATAGTATAGATCTCACAGGGTTATTTGCAGAATAAATGAGAGAATACAAGTAATGCAGGTAGTCTTGTGCCTGGGAAGTGGCAGGACTCTGTAGATGTTACCTGTTAGCAGCAGTAGCTTCTTAGGCCTCCAGTGTTGTTTTGTGTTAATTGTTGAAAGAGATGTGAAAAAATTTACCCTGAATATGTCCAGGTTTTATATTCTTGGGCATATTTGTTTTTCAATGACATATTCACCTTAGATATAATAGAGAGAAAATGTACTCATCATTTCAGACTATAGGCACATACTGGGGCCCCATATAATGCAGAACTACTCTTTGACCCCCTGCTGGCATGCATTAATAGGAAGCTAGAACTGGAGGGAGGGAGAAGCATTTGAATTCTGCCTTTTCCAGTTTCTTCTTGATGAAGTAGCTGAGAAAAGAGTGTAGGTTTTATTCCTCTTTCCCCCGTAATCTTATTGTATAGTGGGTGCTCAATAAATTTGTTGCATTAACTGTGAGGAGAATAATGGAGAAGGCAAGCTGAATTTATTTGTCTCTATTTTCCCTACACTTTTCTGCTTTTGAGCTCCCTTCAGGCAGGTGCCTTATTTTCTACAATGGATGCTTCCTTGAAAAATTGTTTAGAAATTGGGACATGTATTGAACATATTTGTGTAACTAGTATTTAAATCAACATAAATGCTTTTGTAAATGGAAGTTAAATCGTTGAAACTTATTGTTTGGATTTGGGTATTATGAAGTTGTCTTAACAGAAGGCATGTTTGCCCTATTCCCTCATATCCCCCTCATTGGCCAAGTTTCTGTCGATGGCCTTGTGCTTCCTATCACAGACTTTGGAGCCACAGCTAGTATTATGTGAGATTTGTGCTGTCCAATGTGATCACCACTAACCACATGTAGCTATTTAAAAGAATTAAAGTTAAATAAAATTAAAGAATCAGTTTCCCAGTTGAATTTTTAAGTACTCAGTATTTGGTAGCTGCTGTACATTAGACATTACAGGTGTAGAACACGCAGAGGTCAATTGGACAGAGCAATCTAGAAGCTGTAGTTCTGACTTTGAAGTTTAACTCCAAAATACCATTACACAATACTTTATATTTTGTAGTGATTTAAGTTTAAAAGAGCTTTCCATGTATTTCACTTGATTCTTGAGAAAATCCTGTGAGGTAGGTAAATGGTAGTAAAAATTCCATATTAAGTTTCTGGCAAAACGAGGACTAAAATTCATGTAGTTTTTGAGTACCATAATAGTTGACAATTCTTTAGTCCATGGGGTCATTCGGAAGAGTTGAGGTGGCTATAAAAGTAGGGAGCCCTAGGTGGGGGGCCCTTTTCTTGTACCAGCCATCAGCAGCTGTAACTCCCCTTCCTGAACTTCATCACAGCAACCCCTGACAGCTTTGTTAAAATGTTTGCTGTGGTTGAGCAGAATAAATGGCAATGAGTAAGGGATAACAAGTGAGAAACATAGTTGTTTGTGGTATTAGCTGATTACTTGATGGTAGATTTAGGAGGATCACAGTGGTTTCCCAGTGTTATGAAATACACCCTTCCTTGGGAACAACTAAAGCTATTTGCTAGTTAAAATTGAAGGAGAAATCTACAAAACCCACCAGCACTGTTTGTTAGTAGTGAATGGTTAGAATTATTTGGGTAAAGTATATATATAATGCTTTAAGGAAAAAAAGAGTTTCCACAAACTTTCCTTTAATTTTCTCAGCAGCTTTGGGAAGTCACTGTTACTCCTATTTTACACATAAGGAAGTAAGTAGCTTCCTGGGGTCATCTACTGAATGTATGTCAGAACTGGGGCTAGAATCTACATGATTCTTACATCCATATTTTTCAATTGCAGAAGTACCTTTCCTTTTTCACTTCTGCTTCTTCTCCTGTCATTTGGTAAATCTATTAGTACTCTTACTCTGCAGGGTTTTTTTTCTGGGGTTGTACACCTCTAATACATAGCAGGCTTCTTAGCAACTAGAGGACTGAGACTTTAAATAAAAGTCATTAATCAGTATTTGTTCAGCTCTGCTCTGTGTTATGTATTTTGCTTACACTGTTGACCCATTTTTACAGAGGAGTCTGAGGTAAAAAAGAGTTCGAATTACCTCTCTGTACCTCAGCTTTGGGGTGCTCTGGAAGAATAGCAACCCCCAAACCTTTGGTTTTTAGTAGTGAGCACAAAGGATGGAATTCTTTCTGTTGTACTTTTACCAGGTGTGTGTCGATGTCAAATTTCTAGACTGCTCTGCTGGGCTTGGATCCACATTTCCATCTGGTTTCTGGACATTCTCGTCTACTTTTTTCTATTATTTAAATTAAAAAGGGTCTAAACTCAGACTCATTTTCATCTTCCCCAAAGCTTCTTCTCCTCCTCTGTTAACCTCAACTTACTGCCCCAGCTGGAGACTTCAACATTATTTCTTCCCTCTCTCTCAATCCATTTTATATTGATGGACACCAGAACCTTTTAATTCTATCTCCTGAATATCTCTTAAACCAGTGTCTCATACATCCTTGTGCTGTTTTAATAACTTACAAAGTGGTCTTCCTGCTTTCAGAGTATCTTCATTCTCAGCATTCTATCTGGAAAATCATGAATAATATTTAGAATACTTATTTTTAAAGCTTTTTTTTTGCTATGAAAAAACTGGAGAGCACAGGCCCTTTTGAGGGACGTTCACACATATTTTTGGTAATTTTTAATTAATGGAATTTTCCTTTTTCATTGTAGGGAGGCTATTATCTGACAGGGACTTCAGTTGCCTTGTTTATGAAATGAACTAATTTGATAATTTGCAAGATATAGCTCTGGAATTATTTAATTCTAGGTTTTACTTACATTAAATTTTTCTTTGATATGGACAATTACAGTCTGCTGCCAGTTCTGAAAATTATAACTAATCATTTAAAACTGAAGTACATATTTTCAGTTGTGAGGTAAAAATTAAAATGATCAATGGTGGAGGAGATCTAGTTGCTTATATAAGTTGTTTTTCCAAATTTCGTTGTGATGTTTTTGAGCAGGGAAAGAAATTTAAGTCAGCTTATATTATAAGATATCTTATATCTTATAATATCTTGTAATATCTTATAATATTATCTTATAATTTATCTTTATAAGATAAAACACATAAGAAGGTATTATAGTTATCCTCCCACAGATTCAAACAAATAAACAAACAAACAAATAATGTTTTCTGGTCCCTGATTTTTGAGTACACAGTGTGGACCAAGATAAGATGTTCAAATGCTCAGAAATCTGTCAAACTGTTGCCTGTAAGCAACAGTACCATCAGACACAGGCACGGTTGTCTTACTAATGGCAGAAAGATTTGCTTTTCTAAAGCTCAGCACAGCCATGGTCTGGTCTTTTAGAGACACAATCATAGAGACATTGTTTTTCTGATTGCTATGTGAGAGCAAAATAGACTTTCATGAGTGAAAATGATTGCTGAATATTTTCACATGACTGTGACCCATGACCATGACCACTAGGGAGACACATGATACATAGGGAGATACATAGCCTTGGTAGTGATGTAACTGCCATTTCCTTTAAAGTGGCAGAGCTCTCCTGGTAGGTGGGCAGAGACATGCCTTTGATTTGTGGTGTCTTCTTCCCAAATGAACTTTGGAAAGAAAAGAAAATACTGTAAAAGAGCACATTTGCTTGCTTGCACCATACACACACACACACACACACACACACACACACACAACTGTTTCTTTGGCCTTACAAGTTCTTAGAACAATTATTTAAAAATTTTTGAAATTACAGAAAATAATAAAGGACTATTTCCTTTTCCAGCTCAGAAGATAAAATAACAGTCCACTTTTTAAACCGTGATGGTGAAATATTAACAACCAAAGGAAAAGTCGGTGACTCTCTGCTAGATGTTGTGGTTGAAAATAATCTAGATATTGATGGTTTTGGTGAGTATGAAAGATTCCTTAAAATTTTTAAGTGAAACTATTGAATAGGTTTCAACTCTGTTATTTGTTAGGAAAGGGAACCAATCAGTGTTTCTCTAACATCCATGTTTCTCTCTCTGGAATGAGTTTAAAAAATGAATGGCTTATTTAGGTAAAGAACTCACTGATAATTTATGTATAGTGTATATTCTATAAAATTTATGTATAATTGATCTTTGTGTGAGTTCATATGTAGCTACACTTTAACCTTTGTTTCTCCGATACTCTTTGACAAATGAAAAGTAGTACATAACACTGTAATGAAAAATAAACTAGGATCAGATAGATTATGGTTCATAATTCTCAGAACTATAGTAGCTATAAAAAGCAAGTGCTTCAGCCCTGGCTGGGTGGCTCAGGTGAAGTGTCGTCCAGTGCACTAAAAGATTGGGGGTTTGATTCTCAGTCAGGGCACATACCTAGGTCGCGGGTTCAGTCCCCGCTTGGGGCACATGTGGGAGGCAACTGATTGATGTTTCTGTCCCACATGGATGTTTCTCTCTCTTTCTTCTCTCTCTCTCCTCTCTCCCTTCTTCTCTAAAATCAACAAACATATCCTTGGGTGAGGATTAAAAAATAAAAAGCAAGTGCTTAAAATAGATGGTAGCTATTATTAATTACAGTTATTAATACAGGTACACTGTTCATTATATACTATGGTTCATAAACTAACATTGTCATTTACTAGCCATGAGACCTGGAGCAAGCCACTTGCCTCAGTTCTTTGTTTGTAAGATTGGATTATAATATTTCTAACCTTGTGGGATTGTTAAAGATTAAATGGGATATTGGGAATAAAGTGGTTAGCACAGTGCCTACTGTGTGAACGGTAAAATTTATGGTATTTTAACTTGACCTGCTCTCATTGTCCTCCCACTCCACCTTAAGAAAACTGACAGAACTACAGTAGCTATAAAAAGTAAGTGCTTTAAATATACATTAGCTATTATTATTAACATAATTAGCAGTACAGGTACACTGTTCATTATTGCAAATTTTAAAAGTACAGTAAAAAAGACTTCCCATGATCTCATCACACAGCAATAACTATTAAAAGAATCCTTTTTTCCCCGGTACACCAGAAATATAGAAAATTTAATGCCAACACTGTCTTTAGTAGTTGGCTAAGAATTCTGCATTCACTTATGCAGACTTAGCAGAGAGCCTTTAAAGATCAAGGATCCTGACGTGTCCATAGTTTTGGCTTGTAAATGTAATCTTGAGATATACTAAAATAGGACCACAAAAGGTGAGTTAAGCCTAATTCACTATATAGGATAAAGATGAAAAGAAATCAAGAAGTCTGAAATGTTCTCCTTATGAAGAAGAGGTTATTGTAACAACATGGGGGCAGCTATTTTATTAATTCCCAAAGCCGAATACAGGAGACCCTTTAAATATCGTTCGTTGTAAGTCATGTTCACAGATGCTCACCACACTCAAACAAGGCTAAGTATGGAGTCTCTGTACAGTTTCTCTCTGGGTGATCTCATTCCTTCTGTGACCTCAAATCTTATCTAGATGCCCATAAACTCTTAACATTTACATTGTTAGCTCAGACCTCTTCTCTGCCTTGTGGACTACAGACCCAACTTCCCTCCTTTACATCTGTTCTTGGATATTGCACAGGTATTTTTAAGTCAATCTGAGCTGTCCCCTCCGACCCCCAACCTGCCCTTCCTTGAGCCTTTTGTGTCAGTTATGAGCATCACTGAGCTGTTGAAGCCTGAAACTAGAGAGCATCTTATTCTTCTCCCCCATCCCCTACCTCCAGTCCATCAGCAGTTCCTGACCGTTGTGTCTTCAAAGTATGTCGTCTATTCAAAGTGTGTCCTAGTCTCCCTATCCCTGCAGTAACTACTCGGGGCTGGCTGGTCACTGTATACCTGGAACTGTGTGGATCTGCTTCTGTTCTTGAGCCCCTGATTGGGGTGATTTGTTGTAGTACACATCAGACATGTCTCCTGATTAAAAACCATGAATAACTTCCCATGTGACTTAGGCTAAAATCCACATTCCTTACCCTAGCCTAAACGGTTCTGCATTATCTGCCCCCTCACCGCACCCCTATTTCTACTACTTCTTTTTCTCACTTGGGCCACGTTGGCCTTTTCTCAAGGGCTGAACTCACCCAGAATTTTTACCTTCGAGACTTTGTATACACTTTACAATTTTTTTCTTCCTGGAATACTTCCCCCATTGCTATCTTGAAAATCCTGTCTGTCTAGTCTCAGTTTATGATACTTCCTTAGTGAGGCTTTGCCCAACCACCCAATCTGAAGTAGAGTTTCTTTTATTTGCCTGAACCCATTATTCCCCATTACAGCATCCTGTTCATTTCTTTAATAGAATTTATCATAGTTTATTAATTATATATTTTTGTTTACTTGTACATCTTTCTCCCAAGAGACTGCAATGAAGGATAAAATCATTCCTGTTTTATCCCTTATTGTATATGAAGTGAAGTAATGAATGGATAAATGATTAAAAAGGAACAATTGTGAATTTTGGAAGGAACACAAATTTATAAGCATTTTTTCCAACTTTTATGTAGTTTTAGGGTGTATTATAATATTATGTCACTAGGGGGCAGTTACACCTCTCTGATCAAATTTACCTATTTTATTATCTCAGGCTTTCTTGGTCTCTTCTGCATTACCTGTATCCCTCATATGTCTGTTTTGAGGGAAATTATTTAAATTGGGAGATCCTGATAATGTTTATATGAATCTATATTTATTCCTATCATGTTTATTGACTTCCTATTGTTATAATGTATTTCTGGCTATTCTAGATCAAACTTTATTTTATAAAATTAGATTTTATATTTATATGTAGTTTCGCATTTCTAATATATAATATTCCTACAAAGCTATACATTGGATTTTTGTTTGGGAAAGGGGCTAAGTGTCAGGGTGACCCATCTGTCTTGTCAGCATCATAATAAATCTACAAAATGATCTTAATGTGACATACATGTGCACTCTTGCTTGCATGTACACACACACAAAACAGCCTTTTTCTGTTGGCAGATACTCAAGTTACATGAAGTAGTTTGCAAATACCCAACTTTCTCTGGGAATTAACTTAATGGCAAGAATTTCTGAGCATTTGTAAAGAAGCTTAATATTACTAGTTTTTTTTAAATTCAGTAGGAAAATTTTATTCATTACCTACTTTGAAATTATCCAGTAACCATGCCTTAGTTATATTTAGTGTAATTTTAAAATTATACAAATTTTAAATTGTGCAGATTAACACTACGTGTGTTACTCTAGTAAAATCAGAACTGTGAAAACCCAAAACTGTTGTCAAGAATCTCATAATGTCAAGTGGGCAAGCTGTGCAAACTGCAAATTTTACATTTGTTACTGCAGCTAAAGCAGCACCACTTTAGTTGGTAAACAAATACCTTTCATTCCTTGTTAGTATAATAGGACCTATGCTGTTTGCAGACATCTGAATGCCTGTGTAGTTTTGTTGACTCTGGTGCTGATATTTTAAACTGTGATTTGAGTATCATTTAATATTTTTAAAGGCTTTAACAGTTTCAGCCAAGCATTCATTATATGATAATGCTGAAAAATACATCTGAAAATGAGTTATTTTGGAAGTCAGAAGTTAGATGTTATAAAATGGTATAAAGAAAGCCAAAAACCTGTCATGTTACATATTATTATTATTAATGCAGGAGAAAGATCTCTGAATTGTTATCCAAAATGCTGACAATATAAAAAGCAGCACTAAAGCATACAGACCTGTAAATTCATGAAAATTGTATAAATAGGCAAGGATAAAACGTTGTTGCTAGGGGCTGATATCAGTATGGGTGTAATGTGCTGTAAGTCAAGATTGTTGTCTGTGCTAAGGCATGTAGTATTTTTAATTATTTGAAAGGTGGATATAGTAATGTAAAAAATTTTACTTCAAATGTTTGTTCTACCAGAGTATATTTTAAAACAAAAATGGGAGGGATTTCAGCAGCTCTGGGTGTAGAATGGTGGCGATAGTGGCAGCGAGGGCAGCAAGAAGGTCACTGAAACACTTGGAGTCTCACGTCTGTGCAGGGATCTAACCACCACCACGTGGAGCAAAAGGGCAAGAACCAAGGCCACCAAGAAGTGCTGCCAGCCTGCCACATCCAGTTGCTGGCCATATTCCAGCAGTCACAGAGTCAGGAGCTTAAAGAGGCCTTCACCATGATGGATCAGAACAGTGCCGGTTTTCTTGACAAGGAAGATTTACTTGATCTGTGTGCCTCCCTGGGAAGTATTCAGCAGTCGAGTATCTAGATGCTATGAAGAATGAGGCACCAGGTCTCATAAATTTCACCATGTTCTTCATGATGTTTGCTGAGAAGTTAAATGGCACAGATCCAGATGTTATCAGAAATGCTTTTGCTTGCTTTGATGAAGAAGCAACTGGCAGCATTCAGAAGAATTACCCAAGAGAGCTGCCAACATCAGCGGGAGGTCAGGTTACAGGTGAGGAAGTGGGTGAGCTATACAGAGAAGCACCTATTGACAACAAGGAAATTTCAACTACAATGAGTTCATGCACATCCTTAAACATGGAGCAAAAGACAAATATGACTGAAAAGAACTCCAAATTCCAGTCACATGTTGTAGCCACTTTGGGTATTTCTGAGACTTTCTATTAGAACCTATTGCATGCCCTAGCTTTACAGCTTTTATTACCTTTTTTGTGGTATTTATTCAGCCATTTGGTGCACATGCATCTCAATAATCAGATGGAAATGGGACTTTCTGTCATTTTCATAATAGAAAATAAGGGTAACTTAACAGTCCCCTGCCCCCCAGTAACTGCAGTCTACACAGAGTCAATATTTTTTTTCCAGAGGAAGTTACTCACTCAATTTTTTCTGAACCATAATTAAATTTTATGATAAAAACTTAAAAAAGAAACAAAAAATGTGATGTGATGATTATAGATTAATGAACTATGAGAACCCACTTTCCTACTTTACATTTGTTTCATTGAGAAAATAAATTATGAGATTTAAGCAATTTTCAAAATCTTTGAGAATGCATCCCTCATAAAATGCAGTCACTTCGTGCTTATATATGTATGTATGTGTATCTGTATATACAGATACATGAATATTTGCATATATGCATACATACATCCACATGTGCATATTTCCCCCATTAATTTACTTATAAAACCAACTACTAATAAATATGCTAGAAAGTGGCAGCCACCAATGTTGCTCTGGACTGTGTATAAGCAATAAGCATAAGTCACTTAACTATTGCACTTTCAGTTCCCATCTTTCTACATGTCATTTTATTGTACTCATATTCTGATCAGCTGTCAGTTTGAGATTGAAGGCTATCTCATGGTAACTTTTGTACCCTCTTCCCTTTTATAGATTGTTTCCCGTTGCTTGTTTTGTAGAGTGTTTTCCTTTGTATGTGATAAGAATAAAAACAACAAATATTACCAATTTTATGAATAGGTTTTATTCTCCAAGATCATTTTCAGGTCAGCTACTTGGCATTTGCAGTTTGCTTTCCCATGAAAATAGTGTTATATGTGGTGGCAAAATTTTCAGGCCAACCTACAGAACCTATTTATTTGTAACTACTTAAACTGCTTGCAGTTTGGCTTTATGAGAAAATGCATTGCAACTTCTAATGTAAGGTCGAAAACATCTTCACTTCTTGGACATACCTACTATACACACACACACACTGTATACTACACATACCCCCACTCTATAGGGACTGCTTTTCTCACTTTATACCTTATTCTAGGTAATGGGGATATATGCACCAATAGTTTTATACCATTGTTAGAAAATATAATAAATATTATTTCAATCTTAAATTTTTTAAAACTTGTTTTATGACCTAACATATACTCTCTCCTGGATAGTGTTCAGTGTGTACTTGAGAACGATGTGTCTTGTACATCTTTGCTGCAGAGTTTTAATCTATAGTATTACTTGTATCACAGTAGGATCACCATGTTTCTCTAGTTCAGTGTTAGCCATCTTATTTATACAAGCTAAGTTGACTTCATCTTGAGTTTCGAAGTTTCTTTTATATTTGAGTTTCTTTTTAGTATGAGGAATAAGAAAAACATACCTGGTCTCAACTTGTAGTGGAAAAAGTTTGAAAGGGAGTATAAAGTAAGGAGGGATCATGAATATGATACATTTATTTAAAGAATAAACATGGGGTAAACAGGTAATAGGAACTTAGCATGTAGGAACCAAAAGTTAATTTGTATACACTCAGTATTTGTCAGGTTCTGATTAGAATACGTTCTTCAGCTCTGAGCTTGGCAGCTTAAGCAAGATATGTAAACACTGGTGCAGTCCATGAGAGGGCAATAAAAATTATATTAGAAAATGAAATAAAACCTTTAGGAAGGTTAGAATTGGACTTTCCTAGGGAGGAGAGAATTTAAAGTGTTTCAAGATTTGGATGGATGGTGAGTAACTCTTCAGTTTGTCTGACCAGGTGGTACGAAAAGGAATGTCCTAAGCTTTTCTGTTAGGATTTATGGTCATATGGACTTTTCTCTCTGTTCGGGGGTGATTAAGACCATATTGTATGCATTCTTCTTCCCCCTGGCTTATCTGACATTGCACTTTTCTGGTTTTCTCTCTACCATTTGGGACATTCTTATTTTGACTGCCTTTCTAGGAGGGGTCTCACCTTGGCTCTCGCTGCCTCTGATCTTTCCTATTTGCCCCTCTGGCTTTGTGAAATCTCTCGGCTTTTTCTTCTTTTTCATTTTAATTCATCCTTTACACATAACCACCAGTGAGATCTATCCAAAATAAAGTATGCTATATCACTCTCTCGCTCAGGATAGTTTTTCAACTCTCTGTAACCTGGGGTACAGGTTCACACCCACAGTCTCTCCAGGGGCTAGGTGTGGGAGAAGGGTGACAGGTGTTCATCAACCCCTGGCCAGTGTCGTCTCTGTGGTAACCCACCGTGAAAGACAGTTAACTGAGCCTGCGTTATCCACGCAGTGTGTTGGGAAACAAAGTGGAGAACAGTGGGCTTCTAGAACTAGTTCAAGCTCCTTAGAAAGCAAATGGCCCACTGCCTTTGCAGGCCCACATACCTCTTGCCCTGGACCGGGAGTTTTGTTTTTCTCACATCTTCTGTTATACTTGGCTTGCAGGTTTCAGGATTTGTTCTTTTCATAACAAATCTGAAGAAAGTTTCTGGGAATATTTTGTAAGGATTGTTTGACTTACATTTTTAAGACAAAAGGAGGCAGGATTTCCTGATTTTTCTCCTGGAATATTTCCAGAGGGATTTGCCATTTTAGTTTGAGTTTGTTTGCACTGGGTATTTTTTAAATTGAACTTACTGGTGTGACATTGGCTAATACAATTATATAGATTTCGGGTGTACAGTTCTGTAATACATCATCTGTTTGCATTGGGTATTAATAAGACAAACAAATCAAGATAAGTGTGTACTTACTGAATGCATAGGTTTAGAATGTAGTACTTTTTTGTGGAGTCATAAAATATTAGAGCCAACAGGGATCAGGAACATTAGAGATCATCTACCTCAACATCTTACACAGTCGAGAAGAAAACTGGGAGACTTGCCCAGGACACAGCAGTTGGGGCGGTAGGTCCATCGGGAGCCTGGAGCCTTGACCTTAAGGTTGCACTTACACCAGTTCTCCTTTTACTACAGGGGTTTTTGAACTTGATATATGTATCTGTGTGTATTTTTTTAAGCAGAGAAAGCACTTTTCTTTTTAAGTGAAGTATATTTACCTTTTGTGTGAAATACTTCAACTTTACACAAAAATAGAAAACTAAGATACTTGTTCAAATAACCAATTGGTGTGTATGTATATTTTTGTATTACATTTAATATTTAAGTGAGGTGACTTAGATTGAGGGGGAGGAACTAGTTGTTTTCAGCATTGGAAAACTTAGCTGAAGTCGTGAACCATATATACTTAGTATTCAATAGTATGACCTTAGTGTATTTATTTAACTTCTTGGGTTTAATTCTCTTTATGTTTATAAAAAGACAGTTGAATTACTCTAAGATGTCATATAACTTTCAAAAATAATTACCAACACTTGTATAGTGCTTAGTATCTTATCTACCAGTCATGGTTGCAAGTACATACTCCTATGTTAAGTGCACACTCACATGTAATTCTCCCAACTACCATGTGATGTTGGTGCAGATAAAACCGTTGAGGAAACTGAGGCATGATGGATTAAGTGGTCCAAGTTGGTGCCCTTAGTGAAAGTGGAGCTGGGATTGCAGCCCGGGGGTTTGGCAGCAGAGCCCATGCTCACTGCTCCTGTACTTCCCTCTGTGTTCTCTCTCTGCTTAATTCTGTGACTTCTTTGAGTTAGATTTTATAAAAATGAACATTTAAGGAAGCCTCTCTTTCTTGATTGTTATAACAAAAGATAAATAACAAATATTTATATTATGAGGGAACAATTCTTACTAAAATATTTTATTCATTCAGAGGAAAATTAAGGTTACTAGTTATTGATAGTAGTTCTCTTACATGTATTATGTGTCGTTTATTGACCAGAAGATAATCTAAATCAAGCCGAAGTATCTCCGAGGAATCTATAATCTTCAAATTTGTGTAATGACCTTTAAAATTAGTATTAAAATAAATAGAAAAATTATTTTTAAGGTGGAATTTAACGATAACAATCCTGCACAATTCTGTTTTGTCAGACCCTCCTGGCTGCCGCAGTCTAAGAGGAGCCCCTACCCAGGCTGGGGAAGGGGTTTAGAACTGCTGTAGAAGGAGAGTGTGAGAGACTTGGGTGTCCTCAGCCTGGAGAGGGAAGGATGATCTCAAATACATGAAAAGCTATTGTTTAAAAGAAGGAGTCACTAAATAGTTAATACAGTTTTCATAGAAACAGAGTAGAAAGGTGTTTGCCAGGGGCTAGAAGTGGGGGAAACAGAGAGAGATTGGTAAAGGGCACAAACTTCCATCTGTAAAATACTGAAGGTCTGAGGCTCTAAAGTATAAAACATGGTGACAACAGTTCATAACACTGTGTTGTAAAATTGAGATTTGCTAAGAGAATAGAACTTAAGTGTTCTCACTAAAAATTTATAAGTTAACACATTTAGTTAATGTGTTAACTAAATGATAGGAATACTTTTACAATGTATATGTATATCAGATCATCACAGTGTACATTTTAAATATCTTACAATTTTATTTGTCAATTATATCTCAATAAAGCTGGAGGAGAGAGGATTGGATTCCTTGGGATAGTATTGGATCAGTTGGTGGACATTTGAGTTGCACACTTCAGCTCATTAGGAGCCAAAATGCAAAGCTGGCTGGCTTGTGCGGGTGCGGATTCTCGGGAGGTTTTCAAGCAAAGGTTGGGTAACCTGGGAAAAGGATATGCAGAACAGATTCAGTCATTTCCCTTTTTCACAGCACCTGGCATATAATAGGCACTTACATTAATAGATTAAATGTGGCACAGGAGAAATATCTCATTATTTAAAACCAATGTGACCCTTAGAGTGAACTTATTCGATTCTGTCCTGATTACAAGGAAAGACCAAGGGGGAAGAATGTATAACTTATTTGGATGTAGGTTTGGTGGCTTTCTCACTCCTCCTATATACCACAAGGCTTCATAAATTGTGTTGAGCTTTCCAGAATCTTTTTGAAATGATATGTGAAAGTGATTTCAAATTGAGTGTGTATGGGGGTAGAGGATTGTCCCTGATTCTTACCATTATGCAGAAATAAAGTCTTATTTATGTATGCCAGTGCTGATTTTAAAATTTAGAAATAATTAACTTTAGTTAATTCACACCAAGTTTAAATTGTGTTTAATGCAGAGCCGAGTATGTTCAATGTCTGTTGCTTTTGTAGGTGCATGCGAGGGAACCTTGGCTTGTTCTACCTGTCACCTCATCTTTGAAAAACACATATATGAGAAGTTAGACGCAATCACTGATGAGGAAAATGACATGCTTGATCTGGCGTACGGGCTAACAGATAGGTAAGATTTAGGACCACTTCAGTTGTACTAATAGTCTGGGAAGATATAGGTTTATTAGTTCATGTCTGTCTAAGACCAGACCTGTGTGTGTAATACAGTTCTTTCTGCATAGATAGGTAGCAGGTATAAACTTTGAATATAAAATATGACATTTCTCTGTTTTATATTCTGTGGTTTAGCCCTTATGAAACTTTCCTTTTTATTAAAGTAAAAAAATAGGTTTCTTTAGTTTATTTTTATTCCAGAAATAAATATTCATCACAATTTAATGAGTTGGGATTAAATCTAATGCTTTTTATGGTACTATGGAAGGATAGATTTGATAATTGAACAAAATTATAATGGAAAGATTTACCTACTTGAGAGAATGGAATTTTTAAAGGAACTTAATATATAATAGTAAGTATGGTAACATGAATAGTTCTATTTCTAAGTGTACATTAAGCCACATCAGTCAGAAGTTATTGTTATTAATTAATAGGTAGAATTACTCTTAAAAGTGGTAAGATCTAAAGTAGCAAGCGAGTGATATCAAGTGATGCCTTATTCTTAAAAATTATAAAATCATTTGTTTGGGATTAGGGAAAGTAGCTAGTTGCTTTACTGTTTTAAGGGGCAAGGTAATGAGGGCTTATGTAAGGTTGACTTTGGTGTTTATAATTTGGTGACCCTAATAAAAATAATTTAAAAAAATTTAAAAATAATAGTAATAATAGTAGCTTTATTTCTTATGTATTATGTAGCTATAATTTTGTTAGACCCTTAACAAAGAATCTTATCTAAAAAACATTAAATTTCTTTTTCTAGCAAACATGCTTAGGTGACTGGTATTTATTTACTTAGAGGTGAAGAATAATTTTATCCCTTTTGCAGTTCATTTCCCTCTTGGTGGAGGTGAGACTGATACCCTGGGAAGAGGAACTGGGAAAATAGTATCTCTCTGAGTCCCAAGCAGAGCAGATTCTGACTGGCATCTGTCCCCTTCACGTCTTCCGGTGCCACTGTCTCTGTCAGCACCTTTTTTTCAGAAAGGATAGTTAATACACAGAATACACTCAGAGATTCTGTTAATTTAGTTCTAAGAATTGTTTCTCTTCTAATAGGAAGAGTACGTCATAGCCAAGTTCTTGACCTTTTATTAGGTAAACTTTGTATGTGCATGGAATAAATAATGTTCTAAGTGAAACGAAAAAGAAAATTAGAGCAGAGCTACAGTTAGAAGAGATGCACAGATGTCAAATGATACAAAAGCCTAATGGAAATGTGAACTAGCCAAGGACTTTGATAGTAAAATTCAGAAATTTTAGAACACAGAAATGAAGAGTAAGGACTAGCTTTTATGGCATGCACAATAGGGCGTCAGCAGTTACTGGTGGAATTAATGGTTGATAGGATGAGAGATTCAGGAATTATCTCTGAATCTGTATTTGATGGTTGTTGGCACTTGCTGCCACCAGTGTCCATGGATAATCTGCAGAAAGGCCTCAGTTTCTGTATTTGTAAGATAAGATATTTGAGGGTAAGAATAGCTACTTCATACAGTTGTTGTGTGAAGTTGTTGTGTGAATGCAGAGAAAGCATTCATTAAATGGTAGTTGTTAGCATTATAACTACAGTGCTATAATTATATAACTATAATGCTAACTATATGTGAGATACTCACTACAATGCACAGGTAATTCAAGATTATTTCTAGCCATCAGAGTTAGGCAGTGTTATCACCATTTTCTGGGTTGGAGGACAAGGTTTAGTTATCAGAAATTTGCTCAAGGCTGCACAACTACAGAGTGATTTGAGTCATTCTGTAATTTGGTTAATTTGGGCCTAATGCCCTTCATTTTTTACTTTTTTGAGCTGCTTCCCCAATCTTAGAACTAAACACAACACCCAATATATTTCCACTGTCAGGTATATATGACAAGGGTGACTGGAGAAAGTATCTTCAAGGTTTGCACAAGCATCAGAATTTTGTGGGACTCATAGTGAGATCAGGGAAGAAGACCTGCTGTCTGTCTCCTTCTCCAGAGCTGTAAGACTTTCTACACTGTGGAGACTGTCAAGCCAGAGAAGCAGGGGAGAAAACAGTCACAGGGTGCCACAGCCTTATCTTCCAGGGCCATCGAAGGGATAGTTACTACACAGATAGTTAATAATACCCAGCAGGGGCTCTTGGTGCTACCCCTGCCTGTATTCCTGTAACACACTTTTGACTTAATTCCACCCTGTTTCACTGACAGCTATTTATGTCTCTTTCTCTTACTAAATTAAAAGTTCCTTGAAGACTAATGCTATCAGATAACCATCTGTCTCTCTAGGGCTCACCACAGTGCTAATTAATTGGTCTAAATCGGTTTGCCTCATTTTCTCTCTTGCAGATGGAGCTTAATATGTACTTGAGTGTTGTCAAGGCTGTGTTTAATAAACAAATAGGAACTAGTGTAGAAGGGGATTTCTTTTTCTATTAACAATCAGTGTTTCCTGTGGTTGTACTTACTCCCTTACTCAAAAACTTCCCAGTGGGTCCTCATTGCCCACCAGTTAAAACCTGAACTCTCACTGGCCTGCAAAGCTGGCTGGCCTGGCCGTTTTTGAGCCTGTCACTCTTGTTCCTTGTCTGTCCTGTGCAGCAGCTAAGCTAAAACCCCACATTGCCTCAAACGTACCTATAATTCTGTTACTTTTGCCTCAAAAATGTCTGTCTCCTTTCTCTTTTATGAAATATTAAATCCTGCCCATTCTTCAGAGCCCATTTTGGTTTTATTTTTATTTTATTTATTATTATTTTTTTATGTTTCTTTTTAAATTTATTTAATTATTTTTCAACTACAGTATTCTAGCTCCCCTGGACAGAAGTAAGTGCTTTCTCCTCAGACCTTTTGGCTTTCACTCTCTGGCATTTGTCACAAGCTCAAGTGTTAATATCTACTAACGTGTGTCATCTCTTCTATTTGGTTGAAAGTTCACTCCCTGATACTCATTAGCAGCTAATCCCACAACAGTCTAGTGAGGAACCTGTTTATTATCCATCTTTAGGATAAGATTAGGAAACTAGAGTTTGGGGAGGGGCATTAAGAAAGTGTACACACTGTGTTCATCAGGCTGGATTCTCAACCACCCGTCTGTTGGGCTCTAAGGCTCGAACCCCCGCTCCCTCCATTTTGTATCCCTTGGGTGCCCAGCATGTAAGAGATATTCAGAGGATTGACCTGAGTTGCAGTTCTTTGTACCTAAACTGATGTTTAGTGCTGTGCCTTTAGATCTTTAGTAAATGCTTAGATATATTAATGAAACCAAGACCTGCCTATAATAGTCCATCAAATGGAAGACAATTTGATTGTAAGACTGGCATTTATTTTTGTGCACCACTAAGAAAGAAAAATACTGCTAGTAAAAATAGAGCACAAAGTTATCATAGCACTTAATCTATTTTGTGCAGGGTAAAAGAGCTATTTCGAATTACCTTGGCATGATTTGTATATCCCTGTTGAAAAATGAAAGCATAGCCCTGGCTGGTGTAGCTCAGTGTATTGAGCACGGGCCTGTGAAGCAAAGGGTCGATGGTTCGATTCCTGGTCAGGGCATGCCTGGGTTGCAGGCCAGGTCCCCCGTAGGGGACACATGAGAGGCAACCACACATTCATGTTTCTCTCCCTCTCTTTCTCCTTTCCTTCCTTTCTCTCTAAAAATAAATAAATAAAATATTTAAAAAAAAGAAAGCATAAACAAAATTGGTAGTAATTCTGAAAAGAAAAAGAAAATGGAATTATAGCTATTCTTTTAATGACAGATATTTGCTTTATGAATATCAAATTTATACTTCTACAAATATCAAATTTATACTCTGCTATGTTTCTGTATTTCTTATTTTTTTTGTCTTGCAGTCTTTTGCACTAATTTTGACTGGTGATTAAATTCAATACATGAAGTAGTAACATACTCTCACCACTCATTTGAAGAGACAGCTACATGAATATTACAGCCAGGTTCACAGCTCTGATGTGACCGCCACATCACAGTGACTGTGTGACATCATTGATTTTAAGATTTATTTCAATTTTAGAAATGTTAAAAGTGTGGGGAAATATGCGTCTGATAGTTTATGACTTCCAAATTTCTTGTTTTAAAGTCTTTATAGTCTGTATGATTTTAATTACCTGGGAATTGATTAATCATTTTCTTTAGCAACAGGCAATGCTAAAACCTGTTTTCTTCTTCACTGTTGTGCCTCTGATTATTTTATTTCCTGTCCTTTCACCAAAAAGCAGTCATTCTGGTGAAACAACTAGTAGATGATGGACACTGAAGACTAAAGCGAAGCTTTGCTCCACTAGGCTTTTTGTTTTTCATGTTCCCATTTTGTTACCCTCTAGTTGAGTAGAATGTATCTTTTTCAACTTAATAGAAATTTAAGAGGTAAATGAATTTCTAACTTCTTTGGGTAAGAAACTGTTCTGTGTAGCTGCATTGTTTTATAAATAATAAATACTTAACATTAAACTATACCTCCCGCTTTTTCATGCAGGTCACGGTTGGGCTGCCAAGTCTGTTTGACAAAGTCGATGGACAAAATGACTGTTCAAGTGCCTGATGCCATGGCTGATGCCCGACAGTCTGTGGACATGGGCAAGAACTCCTAGGACAGAACAAATAGGAATATTTTACAAAACTTTACCTATTTTTATAATTATTACTTAATACAATTAAATGAGAGCATTGATGAATGGGTTTATTATTATGACCAGCTTTACTACTTTAATTCACCTTGTATAACTACCAAATTTTGTAGTTCAAAAGTATGCAATCTTTATTTTGGTTAAATTATAAAAAGGAAATAAAATATCAGAAAGGAGTATGATAAAATGTTATGTTTGTTTAGCAACATTGGCAAAACATTGTCATGTAAATCCTATGCCTACTTGCCTATAAAGTGGGTTTGAAAGGGTATTTCCCCTGTTAGATGTGGGTGAAGGCAGAGATCTAGAATGGCTTGTCAGGGCCTTACAGTGAATTAGCAAGTCTATACTAGAACCCACATCTTGTTAATACAAACCAAATGTTCAGATTAAAACTGGAGAAATTGTGAATATCTTATTTATAGTAGTAATTAAGTGTGAATATGTATGGAAAAAACTATTGCTTCGTGAACTGATTGATTTCAAAGACCGCTGTAACTTTATACATCAATATTTCAAAATTTTTATTCAGTGAAAAGTGTAAGTCTGAGCACAGGCAATATAACGGAATTGGAGAAATAAACAAAAAATTAGGGGCCTGTTCCTTTCTATCCTAAGTAGAATGGACTGTCTTTGTAATATTTTAAAAATAATGCTGATGTATAAATCTCTGCCTGTAACAGAATAGAGAATTTATGGATTAGGTTTTCCCTGTCCTGAGTTGCACAAGGAAATGAGCAAGCTTCCGAACTGCACAGCCCAAATGGAGCTGCCTGGGGTGCGGTGAGCTCAGCAGCACGCATAGTCCTGAGGAAAAGGGGGGATGGTTTGATCACCACAGCTGACCAGTTTTGGGTGGCAAACATTTGTAATTTTATCTTTACTGTGAGTAAACTGGTAAATGCTAATAAAGCAGTATGCAGTATGCTGTCGGAAATACAATATAACATCAACTAGCTTGGACTAATTGTGGGGAAGGGCAGAACAAATAAGCGAAAGGAAAAAGTAAACTCTAAGATCTTTGAGTTAGCTTCAGGTCTATCCATGCAGTTTGATCATTTTACAAATATTTAAGAACAGTATTTGACCTACAACACTGAGTTCTGTCCATTGAGGAATACAGAGATGAACTCAATAAGGATACCCTCAGGGAGCTCACCTTTAATTAAGAAAAGATAAAATATTTGTTTGCAAAAATAATTTGCTCAAACCAAGTTGACTGATTTGCCAAATAGAATATGTTAAAACTAATTAATGTGTAAAAAGTGGTTAGGAAAAATTTAAGGTTTCTAATGTTCATTTGACACTTTATAACTATTGAGTGCCTTCTATGTGGAGAGTGCTATACTTTAAAGCACTTATTTTAGTTCTCTTTATTAGCTCCGGTATTCTCCATGGATTCTTCCGTGGATTACCTAAACTCTCCTTTCCAGAACTTCTTGATGACATTCAGCCTAAAATTTTGAAATTTAGATTCTAAGTTCCTCACATTTCAAATTAGGAAAGTTTATACGAAGGAAGTTTAATTGTACTATTTAAACAAAATCTACCAAACATTAAATATCCTAAATTGGTTTGTATAAAGATTATTTTTTTCAGTTTGCAAAAAGAATTATTCCATGTTTAATCATGTGTGCTTTCAGGTAACTATTATCTGTTGCTGCAAAACAAATTACCCCCAAATTTAGTGTCTTGAAACAACAATAATCTTCTATTGTCTCCACTTCCTGGGTCAGGAATTCACAGAATGCAAAGCAGGAATGGCTCTTCACTGCTCCACAATGTCTGGGTTCTAAGTGGGAAAACTTGACATGGAGGGCTTTTAGTGAGGAGGGGGAAGGGGGACAATTGGGGGGGAAGGTACAGGGAAGAAGCATAATTGGTAGGCATTAAATAGATGGGGAGAGGTCAAAATGGTATAGGAAACAGGACTCAAAGAACTTACATGTACAACCCATGGACATGAACTAAGGGGAGGGAATACTGGAGGGTGGCAGGGGTGAAGGGGGGATAAAAGGAAAAGTTGGGAAAACTATAGCTGCATAATCAATAAAATATACTTTTAAAAAAACCTTGAAAGGCCAGGTGCTGGAATCCCCTGAAGACTGATGATTCCCTCACAGGACTGGCATGTTGACCCTGGTGTCAGGTGGGGGTCTAGCAGGGGCTGTTGACTGGAGCACCCACAGGTGGCCTCTATGTGGCCTGGGCTTCCTCACAATACGATGGCTGGGTTCTGAGAGTCAACAGTGTGAGAAAGCTTGCCTTCCCGGCATGCATGTATCTTTTAATGACCTAGTCACAAAAGTTTCACAGTACACTTCTGAGCTTTTTTCATTAGAAGTGAGATACTTAGTTTGGCACATCATAGGAATAGAGGGGTGTCAAAGAATTTGCACGCATGTCTTAAAGTCCCACAGTAACCATTATTTTTAGGTTAACTTACATTATTGCCTGTGAAAACTCGTCTTTTAACTAACTTCTAAGCTTTCTAAGGACTAGATTTTGTCAGGATGGGCAGGGTAGGACAAAATGGCGGCTGAACTACAACCCAGAAAAGACAGCTGACGTCAAACCAGGGAGCCGACCCGGGCTTTGCCAAAGCGGATATCCGCATAGCAACCTGAGCCCGAGGAGAACCACCAATGATAGGTTGCCGCTTTGTTCAAAGGGGACCAATCCCCAGCTCCCACGGAGAGAACCAACCAAAATAAAACCCCGCCACACTCCCTGCTTGGGCGCGGCTTCTTCGGCCCCACACTTTGCAGACTGGAGAACCTCGCCCAGGTGCACAAACCCCAGTCAAGCTCTATACTGCCTAACTTTGTGGCTGATTGGCATTTCTTCCTCTGTGGAGCCTAAGAAAACCTTTAATTTAGTGCCAAAACCTGGGAGAAGTTTTTGTCTGCTGAAGACCACTCCTTTCCCTACTCCCTGAGGAGGCCTCACGGTCTCCCCACCAGTCTGGACTAAGAACCAGGGTAAGTGCCATTGCCCTTAAGTTTCTGGTGCCCGAACGCTGATTCCGGACCCCTGTCTGTTGGGAGAGACTGCTCTCACACCAAAACCGCAGTGCTGCGTCGGGGTGACCCTTCCGGGAGAGGCTGCTCCCTCTTGTGAGAGGTTCTTGGCACCGGAGGAGACGTCCCTGGACCCAGACCCCCATTTTTACCAGACCGGATCAGCAGATTGGGTTGAGGGACACAGATTCCCATTTGCTGATCCTCGTGGGACCAGGAATGGGAGGGCAGGAGTCCAAACCAGACCCTAAGTCATATCTAGGGTGTCTTCTGAAAAATTTGGCAGCAATTGACCCTGGCCTCAAGTGAAAACTGCTGATTTTTCTATCCACTACGGCCTGGCCATTATATCAGCTCCATAATCATGAAACCTGGCCTCCTGAAGGCACTTTCAATTTTGTTACCCTTACTGACCTAGATAATTTTTGCAGAAGGACTGGTAAATAAATGGCCTGAGGTCCCCTACATTCAGGGCTTTTGGGCCTTACGCTCCCACCCGGATCTGTGCCCCCAGTGCTCCACAGCCCGAGTTCTCCTTGCCCGAGGGAACCCTGAACTTGTCCAGCCTCCTAAGCCTACTGCCCCAGAACCTCCCTCCTCCTCCTCCGATTCCCCTGAAGACCTTTCTTCCCCAGTCAGCTCACATACTCGCTCCCGCCTGCATCTAGAGCCTCTAGCCTCCCGTATTTACCCCCTCCAGGAAGTGGCAGGAGCAGACAGAGGTGTTGTTCTGGTCCACGTCCCTTTTTCACTAACTGACCTCTCTTCAATTGAAAAACGCCTAGGCTCGTTGTCCACTAACCCTACCAATTTTATCAGGGAATTCCAGTACCTAGTCCAGGCTTATGACCTCACATGGCATGACCTGCACATCATCTTAACTTCCACCATGACCCTGGACGAGCAGGGCCGCATCTGGACTGCAGCTAGGGCCCATGCAGACCAAACCCATGCCACCAATCCCCTCATGCCAGTAGGGGCTGAAGCCATGCCAGACGTGGAACCAGGCTGGGGCTACCAGGTAGGACAGGTGTGTTGGAGGCGCTGCGACCAAATGGTCGAGTGCCTGATAGCAGGTATGCACCAATCTGCCCAGAAAGCAGTGAACTACGATAAGCTCAGAGAAGTCACCCAAGACCCTGGAGAAAATCCGGCGCTGTTTCTCAACAGACTAAGTGAGGCAATGGTGCTCAGTACCTGCCTTGACCCGGCTTCTAACGCTGGGGCCACTGTGTTAGCTACTCACTTTATCTCCCAGTCGGCCCCAGATATTAGAAGGAAACTGGAAAAGGCCGAGGACGGCCCCCCAACCCCCACCCGAGATCTGGTAGATATGGCATTTAAGGTTTTCAATAACCGCGAAGCAGAGGCTGAGGCTGCCCACTAGGCTCGCCTACAGCAAAAGGTAGCCCTGCAAACCCAAGCCATGCTAGTGGCCCTGCAGCTGGCAGCAAACAGTGGCACATGGGCCAAGCCTAAGTCCGGGCCAAAGAACAGCCCACAGGGGGCCTGTTTCAAGTGTGGCAAAGAAGGGCACTGGGCCTGCCAGTGTCCTCAACCTTGGCCACCAACGAGAAGCCTTGCCCAGATTGGCGACAGCTTGGCCACTGGAGGGATGCCTGTCCCCCTTAGAGGCTCATCCCTGGCACCTCAATGGGGGGGGACCAGCTGATCAAGGTGTGGACTCTTGCCTGGCTGTGCTGGAACTTCTCCGACTCCTAGATGTCTCTAGAGGTCCGGACTCGAAGACCCCCATCACCTTCGCCAAGCCCAGGGTAACGCTGCAGGTAGCGAGTAAGCCCATCTCTTTCCTAGTGGACAAGGGGGATACCTACTCTATTTTATCATCTTTTTCAGGACCTCTTACTCCCTCCCAGATCTTGGTCATGGGGGTTGATGGGACCCGGTCTCGCCCATGGCCAATCCCCCTGCTTAGCTGCAGTCTGGATGGCTTTCCCTTTTCCCATTCATTCCTCGTCATACCCTCCTGCCCTATTCCGCTTCTAGGATGGGATGTTCTCCAATTATTAGGCACCACTCTTCAGATTGCGCAAAACCCAACCCCTTCCTCCTCCCTTATCCTCCTGCTGTTGGAAAACCCAACTTCTCCAGCTCCGCCCATTTCCCCGTCCCTTGTCAACCCACAAGTATGGGACACTTCTACCCCAACTGTGGCTTCTCATCACCCCGCGGTTGTCATCTGCCTAAAATGGCCCAATGTTTTCCCATCCTGACCTCAATTTTCTATCTTCCACACAAACTTAAAAGAATTATAGCCTATCATTACCCGACTCCTACACCAGAAACTTCTTGTCTCTGTTAGTTCTCCTTGTAATACTCCCATTCTCCAGGTCAAAAAACCATCCAGAGCCTACCGCCTGTTCCAGGACCTTAGACTTATCAACGAAGCGGTCATCCCTATTCACCTGGTAGTCCCTAACCCCTATACTATTCTCTCTCACATTCCTCCTAACACTGCTCTGTCACAACAGCTTACATGGACAGTCTTGACAGAAGGGTTTAGAGATAGCCCCCATTTATTTGGTCAGGCTTTAGCTCAAGACTTAGCCTCCTATGACCTAGGCTGCAGCAAAGTCCTCCAATACATAGATGACCTCCTTCTCTGCAGCCCCACTTTACAGGACTCCAGACAACATACTGCAGATCTCCTTAACTTCCTTGTCCAAAAAGGATACTGAGTCACTCCTGACAAGGCTCAGCTGTCAATCCAGAGAGTCACCTACTTAGGCCTCTCTCTTTCTCTCTCTCTCTCTGGCCTACCTCTCACAGTCTTACAGCAGACTGCACTCAACTCCTCTGTAATCTCTAACCACCTATGACAGGAGATCAAATTCTATTTTCTTGGGGCTAGTTGGATTTTTCAGACATTGGGTCCCCAACTTTG